CCCCCCCCCAACCTTTGACATAAGCATTATGGAAACAAGAACTGGATGGAAATTTGAGTTTGGTTGAACATCGTATTCAGTGGAGCACCCTTCCCCGTAAGATACTGTGAGCACTGGCAGGCTAGCTGGCCTCACATGAGCTCAGCACTAGCTGAATGTAATCCTTCTGGCTCATGAGTATTGTTCTATGACTTACTTGCCTCATGAATGGCCACCTATCCTGAGCCAAAGTCTTTTTTGAACACCACTTCCAAATCTCTGAGAGGAATACTATGTCCTACCTGAGGTCCAATATCCAGAGCAGAAACCATTTTCAAAGTAATTAGAGCCACGGTGTGAGCCCCAAGATGCATGGATTTAAACAAAAAAAAGAGGTCAATTTTAAGAAAAACAGCTTCTTTGAAGGGGTTAAAAGGAGGCTTTATCTCAAGAACCACATATTCAAAACACCCCCCCCCCCCCCCCCCTTTTGGTTCATTAATTCTATGGTGAACCTCCATGAGGCATGCCAATATGCTAGGCAACCTAAACAGGCATGTGAATTTTGGAGTTCTTTAAAAAAAAATAATAATAAAGTCAACCTTTAAACAGAAATGGGTTTTTACCTGTAACTAGAAGAGCTGGCCCTCTGCTATGATAGTAACTTGGATGTGGCTGGCAGCTAGCATATAGTAGCTTTCCATGAAAAGCAGCCTATGTCCCAATTCATCAAGGTACTCTGCACCTCAAGTTTTGCAGGTATTCTGCACTCCCCATACTTAACTTTTAAGCATGATCAAACCTCTTGAAAGCAGTGGAAATAGTCACATACTTTATTATCTTGTTGAATCATCTCCCTAGTGAGAGCACTTAATTTTCAAATATTGTATTTTCTCTCACACAGCACACATCTTTCCCCCCAAAATTGCCGGAGAGGGAGTTGTGAACAGGCAGAGTCCTGTGTTAACTAAGAACCATAGTTATTGGCTTGTGCCATAGTTAGCTTGTGCCTGAAACAGCAAGTGAGCTGTACAATATTTTGATGAGGCTTGTGATGTGAAAACAAGTTACAGGAACTTATATAAAGAACAAGTAAAAAAAAACCCAAACTGTCTTTCTACTGCCTTTGCAAGGATCTGCGGACTAACCTAGTGTGACATAAGGAGCAAGTTCTCCTGAAAATGTGTCCAGGAAGTGTGGCATCTGAGATGGTCTGGATGAGGCAGCTGGCACTAGGAAGTTCCTGCTGTCCCACCCAGACTCTCTCTTGTGATGCCATAGTTCCTAGGGACTTATCTTCACAGCAAGATTTTGCATCATAGCTAGCCATGCCTGAAATAATCTTTTATTTCTACATTCTGCCATCAAGAAACAACGTGCATGTTTTAGTTGGGGTCTGTTTTATACAAGAAAATATGGTAATTGAAAGCACAAACGCTCTCATTTGGTTAATAATTCATCTGCCAGCCATCATTTATCATGCTCTCAGACTTAGAGTCCCAGATTATGCCACTCTCCTTCACTGCTATACTTTGGGGTTTAAGGTGACATATATAATACAGCAGGAGGAACAGTTGCCATTTCTAGTCATGTAGGGTGTTTTTTTTATTCTTTTAAATCAAATTAAAGGGCTCTAAACATGTTCCTTACCTCAATGTGCAGAATTCAGTTATTTGGGTATGTTCCTAGAAAACTTCATCAAGAAAATTGTCAGCAACTGAAGAACATTTCATTAGTTTGACAGAGATTGAACAACAACAACAAAATCACACCGTAAAATATTTATTAAGAAACAAGAGGGTTTTTTTCTTCACTTGTAAGAAACACTTTAAGTTGAGTGCCCTTTCAGAGGTTTAAAAACTATATCAAATGTTAACATTGGTTTTACATTATACATGACATATAAAACATCACATTTCACAAACTTCTTTTTATTACAACTCCGGGTCCCTTCCCCCCCTTCAGCTGTCAGTTACTTTCTACATACATAAATTTAACTTATTCATATTTTTAACAAGTAAACAATGTACAAAGAGATTCACCTGAATTTTGTAAGTCAGAGAAGGTGTCTTTACAGGGCATGTGCAATGAATGCAGTGCATTCTGGGAGAAAGAGAGAGCAAACATTATTCACAGTTGAAGAAACTAACATCACTTTATGAGCCTGTCTTCCAGATAAGAAACGCTAGTCCTGATTTTGAGGAAACTTTTTTTTTTAAGTTAACAGTAGTTGAAGGCTAACTTACTATGATTCAGGCTCAGATTTTTAGAGGTATGTAAATGCTGCTGCATTCATCATTGCAAGGCCAAAGTGAGTTAACTGGCAAAGGGCATGTCTACAGGTGTGCTTTAATGTACAGTAGCCTATTTTACTGCACATTAAAGTGTCATGTAAAAAAACGTGTAATTATGCTAATGTACAGTAAAATGGATTACTGTGCATTAAGTGTCACTTAGAAAACATGCACTCTCAGTACTGTGCATTAAGGCAGCCTAACGTGCATTTATTTAGTACCTTACATTTGAGGTACTAAACTTAATGCGCATTAGGAAAAGCACCTTAATGCATGTGTAGACGTGTGACTAAATCTTGTTACCTAGGGACTTTTAAAAATCATCTGAGCGCCTAACTCTATTTAAGAATAGGAGTTAGATATCAATGATGTTTTAAAAATCCCAGTAGGTGTCTATTTGGATCTTTAGGAGCCTAAATACTTTTAAAAAATCTGCTCTACAGGCCTTGCAATACTGAATAGAGCTCTACCTAAATCTTTTTCATAATTTACACCTCAAGAGTTTAGCAGGAGGTGCTCTGCACTTCCCAAGATCACACCTAATCTTTTCTCATCAAAAGAAAGTCAACCTTTTATAAAGGCTAAGTTTACTGTGCTATTGTTAAGATATTTTCCTATGTCAGTGGTCAAGAACATCTCTTTATTTTGTAAAAAAAAAAAAAAAAAAAAAAGAAAAAAAAAGTGTGTGGGGGGGCACATTTATAAATAAATTGTTAGACTTGTCACAGAATCCATTTAAGTATAATTGTCAAACAAAATGTTAATATCCCATTTATTGCTACATACTGATACAGATACAGCATTAGACAATAAGAAACTTTTTTTTTTTTTTTTATAAACTCTAGTCTGGGTTACAGTATTTTCCTGTATGTCCTCTCTACCAGTGTGATTCCAAATATGTATAAGGAAGTGATTGTTATGCACAGATTATTTTAGACTTATTGTTGAATTGTTTTAAAGAAGCATGAAATGCATGTTACTACTTTTTGTATTTGTTGTTTCTTTCAACTCAGGACAAACTCATCTGTTTTATTACAAATGGAATAATCAATAGCTTTAGTGCAAAGTCACACTCTGCAGCTGGCTACCTTCTTGAGGATTTAAACTACTCCCAAAGATTTGTATATCATGCTAAAATTATATTTTATTTATCCTGAAGTTATACAACATGAAGAGCTGTTAGAATTTAGTGAATGTTTGGAGGGGGTTCTTTTGTTTTTACTTTCAATACAAAAAAGAAAAGGTCTCTCTAAAAACTGCCTTCAGTTCTAGCTGTGCAAACCCTCCCAAGTTGAGTTTGGAGCGACTGTTTTTCAGCAACAGAACTGGTTGGCAATTCAGAGAGATTTGGGTGAGAATAAATCCCATTCCCTCATGGTTGAATTGAATTACAAACCCACAGCAAAACCTGGGTTTGGCCAGTTTGTGCACATTCACACAGGTTTACTGTTTCACAGGAAGTGGGAATTCTGGTCATATTTGAAGATACAACATGACCTTTCTCTGCAAACACAGTTCAAACTTGAAATGAATAGGATGACAGCAAGATCAAAGGTTTTGCTGACATGCCAGTAAGAGCAAAACCCTTCTATCCAGTTTTTATTAAAAGTTCAGAGATCAACAAAGTTTGTGCAAATGACTACTGGTTCTTGAATGTAAGTCGAAGTCAAATCAAGAATGGTTTCCAAGTTAGAAATCTGCAAAACATTCAGCTCCAATTCCTACATAAATATAAGGGACAGCAAAAATGGTTTTTCACAAGATGAGTATAATGCAGCATCTCACCTCAAATCTCTGGTGCATAAGAAATGACAGAACTTGGTCTAACTACTAACTTACAATGATTGCACTGTTTCATCTTCCATTGTCATTGTGATTGTCTGTGAAGCAATTGGTGAAATGCTGTTAAGGGGCTGGAAAACAGGAAGAGAAGGAAGGTTTCTTAAGTACTATGGCCTTGTACAATGTGACAAAACTCTGTGAATTAGGCAAATACTTCTGACCATGTCATACCTGAAGGGCACTTAATGGCTCAGGCATCTCTCTCTCACACAGTTTTATCTGAAATGCATATGCATCTTCAGCACCATCCTTTGCCGCTGTAAATCATGCATTGGAATGAAAGTATCTGGAAATGTTACTTTGAAGATATTGTCCTACAGTTTTTGGCAACTGAACCCACTCAAAAGAGATGGTTTATAAACACTGTCTGACATGCATGAGCCTTTCAAAATTATATACAAATGTTCTGTAAGATCCATTCCAAAAGTATGTCTCCTCTGCTCAGTTTTGGTAACAAAATCTGTTTGTTTTTTTGAAGTTACACAGTCACTGCTGGGTACATCTTCTGTTCGCTATTGGTAGGAGGATAAGGAGATTGAATCTGCCTGTATCCACTTTGTAGACCATCCAAAAAAGGTGGCACTGGGGTTAGAGGCATAGAGTCATGTTGAACAGCATAACCTACATACTGTGGGTGCAAGTATTGCCCTTGGTGCGGCACAATCTGGGTAGCCTGCTGACAGTTTAGTACTGAGAAATTAGTGGGCATGTTGACATATACATTATTCATGGTCCCTTCTGGCAAACAGCAGTTGGTCTGTGACCTCGTAGGGGGAGGCCTGGCACCTGAATTGGCACTGGAACTGGAGCTGGCAGCAGTACTTGACTGACGAGAAGAGGAACCACGGGAGGTGCTGGCACTTGGGATCATGGGAATTGTCTCCATCAGCCGGTTACCACCAGGAGCTCGGCTCTGTTGTGGTTCCTGCTTGGGTCGCAAGCATCTGCAGCAGCAAGCTGCTACTAGAGATCCCAAGATGATAAAGGCAACAAAAACAGATCCAACTATGAGGAACGGCACATAGATGGGCACTACAAAAGAAACAGAACAGTGAATTATTAGGAGATGCAACAAAGGCCAGACCTCACAAACAAGGTGATGCAAAAGAATATGAGGATTCACTGCTTGTATCTTTCAGTTATGGAACAAGTAGTTCATACATATATAGTCATGTTTTTCAGGTAAAGAGGAATCTGGAGTCTATACATTTCCCAGTTATTTTAAGTATGAGAGGACCAAGATGAAGTTACTACTAAAACTAAAGCTGAGATTTTCAAAAGTAAGTGAATCAGATGACCAGAGAGAAAGGGTTACTAAAGTGAGGATACCAGCTGAGGACTTGGGAGACCAGGGCTCAATTCCCTGCTCCATCCTGGATTTTCCTGGTGACCTTAAGCAAGATGCTTGGGACAGAGCTTCAAAAATATCAAAGCCTTGCAAGGTGCGACTCCAGGGCATCCCGCTATCTAATGGAAGACTCAGGCCCCTCCATACAATGCTCAGGAAAAATAAGTTGTAGAAGTAAAGGGCCACCAATAACCAGCTGAGTGGAGGGCTGCATAAACTGGCCAAAAGTGAAATCCAGAGGAAGGGCGCATGGCTTACATGCCTACAGGGCTGACCAAACCAAGGATCAGCATCTCCCTCCTCTTGGGATCCTGAGCTGTGAACAGTCTTCTGGAATTCAGGGGGGAAACGAAATTTAGACATCTGCGGAAAAACTGAGAGAAATCCGCTACCTAGAACAGTCGAGATTCCAGCGCTTCCAGCATTTCCCTGCAATGGGGAAGATCCATTTCCCTCATTCAGAGTAGATTTGGATTTGTACCTTTACAGCCTCAGGGAGGGCTCTAACCAGTGGTTGTTGACTGCTTTGCAGCATGTCTCTCTGCCTCCTCCCCTGCTGGAGCAGTTCTGCTTTGCATTACTAAATTTTAATCCCCCGTTAGAACAGTTACGTGGGATGTGTGCTCAACTTCTTCACCTAATTACTAGAAATGGACAAGCAGACTTGCCCAGTCCTACACAAGTTCCATTTCATCTCGGCTGTGCTCCAAGCATGCCTACAGGCTCAGGTCAATAGTGGGTAGGCAAGGCAACCCCTAGCGAGACGCCCCTTTGAGGCTCTGATGTGAACTAGGCTCCAGTGTGGCGTTAGTGCAAGTCAACCATACATGAAGATCTTGGCTTTAGGTGGTTTTGAGGGTGTCGGAAGCACCTAAATAGTGGATGTAGGTGCTTCAAGAGACAGAAATGGACTTAAATCCCTTTTAAGGGTCTGGGCCGTAGGCTCTCTGCTTCAGTTCTTCATCTGCGAAAAGGAGATAATAGTACTGCTCTCCATGGAGGGGTTTGTAAGGATAAACACTTCAACTGAAGACCGTGAGGTATTTATAGACTACAATAATAGAGGGCCCCATCTCCTTTAGGCTCTTATGGAAATTGCAAACAACATGCCTTGGCCTCAGCACTGTAACGTGACTGACAGCCTCAAGCCTCAAAAAGTGTTCCTAACCCATGAGATGGCATTACCTGACCATGGCAACCAACACTAATAGAGCTATTACTAATGAGATGTGCTGGATACAAGGTCAAGAGGACAAGACTTTGGTTCTTGAAGTTTAACAAGTGCATTTACAGGAATAGCTGCAGCTCTACATGGTGAGCCATAAATAAGTGTGCAAAGTGAGTTTTAGGGGGAAAATGCCTTGTTCTAACAATGGTAAGTGGGAGTCATATGGTCACTGAAGCTGGAATACCCAATATTCCTGGATTACCTAATAGTCACTTACATGCACATCATTATTAAGTCAAAGGCCACAGTTAAGCCCCATTTACTTTTCAACACTTTATTTGGAAACTTCTTGTTTAAAAAAAAAAAAAGTTGTGTTTATATCTGCACTTGGCAAGTACAGCCGTTCTTTAGCAGGTGCATACACTTGCTACAGACTGCTCTGCACAAGTTTTCCAAGAGTAAGTCTGTCCTAATTATAACATCACTTCAGGCTAGTTCCAGTGTGTTCAGTACTTGTGTACGGCAGCAAGATATGCTGGGTGCCACTGAGGCTTTTTCCAAACAGCAGCAGAAAGGCTCAAGTTTACCCTTGAAATTCACTCTTTATAAATACAGTCTTAAGAAGCGGCATTGGAGGACTGGAGAATTTATACAATTGGGAGTAGTGCTGGCTAGAAGTCATTTGGAAAGGTCAGCCTGCTCAAGTTATTTTTCCTGAAACAACTGGTCCCTTTCAGACTTGCCCCCTCCCCCCGACCTTTTTTTTAAACTGCGAGCGCTAGCAAGGCTGAAGAGCTGATGAAGCGCTCTGCCGTTGTGTCTGGCAACTTATCTGAGACTGAGAAGCAGCGTCACTGAGAAAACTTAATGCTCAAAAAAGAAAAAAAAAAAAATACACACACGCAGGCCAACTTCCAAGGAGCAAATGCAGACAAAAAAGAAAATCAATGGCCGTGTCATCTGTGCAGCCTGAATGAAGGGCTCTTACGCTATGGGGCAGACTCAACGAATTAACGCTGCTCCTTCTTTCTGGTTTCAAGACAGACACGCAACAGGCGGAGCGGACCGGACCGGACCCCAGTGTCTGCCGCCTCCGTTTGACACGGTTGGCATTTACTTATCATCCCGCACCTGGGGCTTTCTGGGGTTCATAAAAAAACAAACAAACAAAAAAAACCCAACCAAGCAATACCCCCCCCTCATTTCCAGTTCAGTTCAGGCCACCTCCTTCTGTCCCACTTCTCAGCTGGACATGGCCCAGGCTGAGGACCCAAAAAGCCCCGTCCAGGGGGATGCAGCATGACGCCCCGCCCGGCGCGGTGTCCCGCCGGGGCCGGGGCCGGGGCCGGGGCCGGGGGCGGCGATGCTGCCGG